TATTGACCCAGTGTTACTACAGGAGGAAACCTAAACTAAACTAACTTTATTTATACTGGATAGCTCTATCAGTTCTGAACAGTTCTTCCTAGAGATCCAGTAAGGATCATCTCCTATTGATCCAGTGTCACTACAGGAGGAAACCTAAACTAAACTAACTTTATTTATACTGGATAGCTCTATCAGTTCTAAACAGTTCTTCCTAGAGGTCCAGTAAGGGTCATCTCTTATTGATCCAGTGTTACTACAGGAGGAAACCTAAACTAAATTAACCTTATTTATACTAGATAGCTCTATCAGTTCTAAACAGTTCTTCCTAGACTCCTAGAGATCCAGTAATGATCATCCCTTGTTGTTCCAGTGTTTCTACAGAAGGAAAGTATCGAAAATATGGAAACTACATGCACGTTACACAATACCTCATCAAAAAGAAATTCTGATAAGTCTTCCGCCAGTTGTTTCCAAAAACAAGTAAATAAGCAGTCGACCAATTCTTGTTTCAACTTGCCCAGTATATCTCGGAGATAGACTATCATGTCACATAAAGACGAGGAAAGGCTGGTTATAGCGAGCTCTTTTTGTGAAGGAAGACTATGCCAACTTGAAAGAAAAATATGTTTTTTTAAGAATACTGGCGGTTCTGTTCTACTTGTCACAAGTCGAAGTCATTTATATCAGAGAGGTTAAGATTGACGTTTACGGCAAACTGGTAATCGCAAACGGGAAACTTCAATTCACATTTGAATGAAAGTTCTACAAGTTTCCGAAGGTTTCGACAGGTTTTTAGCCAATTCATTCTTCAATTTTAATGCACAAATTGTCCTAACTTCGAACAGCTTACAGTTGATCTCAAAATACGACTTGAAATTAGCGGTTAGCGGTCTGCCGTAAACGTCAATCTTAACCTCTCTATTAAGTTCACAAGCTGTCGACAAATTGTGTTCGCACTGCTTGTTCCCAGTTGCTGGAACAAGTTTGGAATAAGCTGCTAACAACTTGTAACAAGCTTGATGGCATTATCAGACTTGTTACAAGGTTGTTCTAACAAGTCTGATACAGTCATGATATAACAAGAATGTTACAAGGTTGACGACACAAGGTTGTAGCAATATTCTTATATCGCGACTGTATCGGACTTGTTGGAACAATCTTGCAACAAGTCTGATGATATCAACAAGGTTGTTACAAGTTGTAACAGCTTGTTCCAAATTTGTTGACATCTGGGACAAGCAGTACGAACAAAACTTGTTGACGGCTTGTTGGCAGAATTGCTAAAAGATGTGAGATTTTTAAGCACTCTTTATTGTTACCAACTTCTTGACGGAAGACCTATTAACACGTCCAAGTGTTTTAGAACTTTTACCTTTCTTTCTTGTACGAATCGCTTTTCATTTTAAACTCCACAGCAACATGTTTCACCAAAACAGCCATCATATTATTCTGTAATGTACGAAGCTGCTGGATGGCTTCTTCAAATAGCGTTCCGTTTTCACCAAAATCATCAATATTACGAATATTAGGTTCATCTGTTGTCGAGTTTTCCGACGTTATTTCACTTGGATCGCTCCGTTTCTTCTTAGCAATTTGTGTTTTAATGTAGTGCAGTTTAAGAAACATCTGTGATTGTAAAAAGATACTATTTCATAGGAATGAGATTAGTACTTCCAGCTTGAGTTTAGTATAAGCATCCTCTTTTAGCAACAATGAAGCACATGCAGGATGGCTCTTTCTTTACCCCCAGAGCATAGGTATAGGAGGGGGGAGGAAGAGGGAGTGGAAACTGTCAGATTTTAACTGCCCAGGGTCCAGGGGCATGCTACCCCGAAAATGTTGAATGGCATTTTCTTCGTTTTGGGAAGATTTCAAATGACTACCTCAACGACTAAAACTGATCCTAACCCTAGTATTTCCTAGCCTGCGAACAGGAAATCAGGCTGTGGGATCGAGATTGATCCTAACCATCCACAACTTACTGTTTTCAGCCACGACCGCTGTCAAAACCCAACTCGTCAGCATTTATATAGGATGTTGGGCTGACTTGAATTTTTAAATTACCCGCTATTAAAGACTCGAAAGAACACATTTTCAAAATATTTTCAAAATTATTGTCGATTACAAGTCACTTTTCAACGTGCGATTCCCAAGTTCGTTGCGAACTTGCCAATTACGTTTCTAAGTTCGGAAATTGGGTGCGAACTTCGCAACAAAGTTCGCAAGTTCATTTCAATGTTTGAACTTCGTTTGTAAACAAATGTTCATACTCAATAATAATAACCAATTGAATGAAAATACAAACCTTCTTGGTAGCCCCACTGGACCAAGAACTTTCCATTGAATTGTTAATTTCAACCTGAACTATGAACATTTGTTTACAATAGTTGAAACATTGAAATGTACTTGCGAACTTTGTTGCGAAGTTCACGCCCAATTTTTGAATTTGGAAACGCAATTGGCAAGTTTGCAACGAACTTGGGAACCGCGCATTGAAAACTGATTTGAAATCGACAATTAGTTTTGCATTTAAATTTAAATTTGGCGTCACCCCCTCTAGCGCCGCCCCTGCGGGTGGGTCTTCTGGACCTCTGGGGAAAACAGTTTACAGAAAATTACGATAAAACTATCGACATTGAAGTTGCAAAACTCACCGCTTGTTCAGACCAATCTTGTAGAATTGTAGCCAGATAGTTTGTGCTGTTGATGATGAAGAGAAAGCAAGGGGTCACAGGATCACCTTCATTCTTTATCTCATCGAGGCTTGCAGTGAAGAAATAGAGAAGATCAAGCTGGATATTCACAAATGAAATTTGATTTTCTTCACCGGGCATGTACTTGTAGCGATCTAAACATATATGTGCATAGGTTTCGATATTTATTTAAAAAAGTCATTAATAATTCATGAGGAAAACATAAAACTAGAAAAATCGTAAGCGTGTCGTATCTTTAATTATATGATAGAGATTTCCCTTGATTTACATAAACTTTAACTTTGATTTTCTCGACAACGTATTTTTTGAAAATGACTTCGCCAATGAACTAGTAAGATCGATCGTTTTTGAAGCAATTTAAGGGGAGATTTTTTCGTATGTTACGTAACACGCGCTCAAAACTAATGCGTATAATATATCACTTGTGGTTATGACTAAATTCAAAATTTTTAGTTTTCGATACGTTTCTCAATCGGTAAGCAAACTTAAAAAGTATGTTTAGTGCTTTATCTGTAAAATAATTCTAAAATGAAGAGATTTTAGATGATACACCAAAGAGAAAATAATGTCTGAAGTTCAGTAAGTTTTGCTTATATGGCTGTAGATATGGCGTCAACTTTAAAGCATCATTGATAATTGTATTTTAATTGACAATTTTTAGCTATTATTTTATGTTTCTCGACCGCCAGATGCATTTAAAAAGGTAGCTAACTCTTAAACTAGAGAATGTTTTATACAAAGTAATTTTGAGAGGAACGCCAAAAAGATTTTAGGCTAGTTTGAACACTTTTCATTGCAAATACGTGACATTGAAAAAAATTACCTCTTAAAACTTTTGCAGTGCGTGTTTTGGTACATAAATGGTACATAAACACGTCCGTTGACGATCGCGCGTTTGAGCGCCAATTCACATCGACTGTCCTGCACCCTCATCAACTTTGAACTGGTTCAAATGTCGACGAGAATTGATGAAAGTTGTTAAGTTGTTTGTGATGTTACTCTGAGTGTGCGTCCACACCGGGCAAGCTGAAAAGTTTGCCTGACCACGGTGGGAATCGCGACCTTTGGGATACTAGTCCAATGCTCTGTAATGGACCATTTGCATTATAGACTAAATGTTTTGATCTAAACAAGTCTAGACAAAAATTTCATCACAGCTTGAAAGAGCATCACAAAATTAGTAATATTCCAAAGTTTCGTTGCGAAATGTTGTAAAATGAGGATAATATAGCCTTGCAAAATTTGCAATTTTCAGTCATTTTGTATTACAAACGGGAAATTGATGCCCCAACACCCGATTGGGCTGTCAATTTCCCGTGTGTAATACAAAATGACTGAAAAACGGCAAACTTCGCAAAGCTATATTATCCGCATTTTACAACATTTCGCAACGAAACTTCGGAATATTACTAATTTTGTGATGCTCTTTCAAGCTGTGATGAAATTTTTGTCTAGATCAAAATTTAGTCTATAATGCAAATGGTCCATTGAGTCAAGTTGGACTTGATCAACTCTCATTCTTGTTTGACACGGGCTTTCACACCATACCTGTTATGCCAACTAGAAGTGAAACAAAAGTCTCAACACACTCCGGAACCTTGAGGTCATCAACGTCAGCCGCGTCTTCGTATCTTGGGCTCCAGGCCTTCTCAGATGATAGCAACGACTGAATATTTTCCATTGCGTCTGCAACAAATATTGCAAGGACATATACAAACCACTTGTGTACCTTTGTACACCTTCGCTCGCAGGGGGATAATAGGGGATATGTTCGCATCCTCGTGTATCCCTCTTTATCCCAAAATACAGGCGGGGAAGAACCTCTGGCACCAAGCGGTACTTTGTACGCGCATTGTCTGAAATTTATTCTGTAAGAAATGTTTAAGGTTTCTGCCTGTATTGAAATGAATTAAATTGAGGTTATGAACTCTGAGTCTGTATGCTCTGCTAATTATACACATTTTCTATATGTCTGACAGAACATGAAAGACGTGACACCAGTGGCGAAGCCCACCAACAATTTGGTCATGCTATGCAAATTTTAAATCATCATCATGCATTTCTTTAGAAAGTGATTGTTTTCATGGTCTATGAATACGGAAATATTTGCTTAGCATGTCACCAAATTGCTGGGCTGGCTTCGCCACTGCGTGACACTAAAGGTCCAGACACACCGGACGCGATTCGACAACGCGACGCGATTTTTCGATTTTCACTGACCGATAACTTTGATTCTAGTTTGAATTTTCCAAATATTTAGAAGTGGTATAACATTTTGAATTATTTGGTCTACATCAGGGTGTTAGCTACAGTCAAAAATTCCGCGTTAAACGCGGTTTTCCCAATTACCTTGAGGTCGCAATTTCCCAATTTGGGTCAGTCAAAAAATAGTTATAGAAATTCGATGTTGTTAATACGCCATTAAAAACATGTTTATAACTACATTTGCTCAAAATTACTCCCAAAATGCGGGAAATGCCATTTCAAAGACACAAAAATTTTAAAAATCGAGAGGGGGCAACCCTGGCTTCAGGATAAAATAAATTTCCTAATTTCAGGTGAACGCGGATTCTTTTTACTTCTGGCTAACACCCTGTACATATCATTCAAAATTTGCCCTCATTGGCTGTTTTATTAACTTTCAAAAACTAAAAAATCGCGTCGCGTTGTCGAATCGCGTCCAGTGTGTATGGACCTTAATGGTTACTGGTTTAAATAACCCTTCCAAACTTACATTTCTTTTCCAGTGTCACCCACTTGGCGAAGCAAGGTTGTTTGACCAACACTTGAAGACAACTGCTGTTCACTTGCGAGAGATCATAAGTATTCCTCAACTCTTTGTCAAACAGCAAAGTTTCGTCAACAAAATGTGAGAACACTGCTTCATTGTCTAACACTAACGGAATGCTATGGTTCATTTTTTCTACCACAACCTGAAGAAGGCCTTCTGTAAATTGATCCTGAAAAATACCAAGCATACGATAAGGCATGTGTTATATGCTTCTATATGACGCTTGTAACCATGATTCTTGGTGGGAATGACTCGTGGCTTATCGTACAAATTTTTTACTGGATTAAAATCTAGTGAAAATTTATTATAAGATACACTTTAGGAAGATTATGTACATGTCAATTCATCAAAGTACCTGGGCAGATCTCCAAGCCAATTCAGATTTATCAATGATTGGTTGAATTGTCGAGTCCAAGAAATCTTCATGATCTCTTAACCAGTTGAGAATTTGGGTGTAGAACCATTCAGGCTGGAAATACAGTAATCATAACCATCACCATCATCGTCATTACCATGACTACCACCATCATCACCACCATCACCATCACTACCATCACCTCATCATCACTATCACCACAATTGTCACAATTACCAGCATCACCCCCACCACTACAACACCATCATAAATATCCAATCACAAATACCAACAAAGATGAAACCTAATGTACTTATACTCTACCTTCTCCAAGCTGTTCGTTTGTCTTTTACCATAAAAATGATACTGAAATCTCTTTCTTAACGGTCGTAATAACAACTCCATCGGAAGGGATATAATTCCTGTTCTCTCTCCATTGCTTGTTGCCAGAGCCTCGCTGTCAAGTTGTCAAGAAATTCATATATACTCATTATTTACTCTATTACTAAACACACTAAAACTAAAATTGCGAGAGAATGGAAGAGCTAGATCGTATTGGGTTCTTGGCAGGCTTGTTTGTATGGTGATGCAAAAGGATACATTTCTGAAACTTGCAGTAACAATAAAAAGAGACTTTCTAGTGTTTGAAAAACATTTGAATTTGCTGCCAATGATGGAGCTGTAGAGCCTGAAGTAAATGGCCATTTTAAAACTTTGAGAACTTCGTCAAATTCCCTAGAAAGAAGCATGCAATCATTGAATGATACAAATTATATATCAACTAAAAATCTGGGCAGTACGATGTTTAATATTCTACATTACTTGGAAAGTTTTTCCACAACAATTTTATTCCAATATTTTAAAGTGTCGACTAGAAACTTGCTCAGATACTGGCACGATGTTCCTTGCAGATTATCCAGAAGTTTTTTCATGGACAAAAGTTCTGATATAGCATTCTTCAGTGACCCTGTCTCCAAACCTTGATGAATTATAGTGCTATAAACATGACAAAAAACATGATTTAGTAATTTATAGTGATTCCACTTGTGTCTTTATAAGTACTTATTTAAAAAAATATAATTAAAATCTCTTATCTATCTGCAGAATTTAGTGATTTGGGGAATTAAGAATTTTTTCTGACCTACATTCAATTTCGAAAATTGTAGGCCATGCTAGTTTTGACTCACAAATTTCAAATTTGATCCACCAATTTTCGGCTACTTCCCGGAATAATAAGGAATTCACCTTACTGGACCTCTGAGTAGAAGTGTTTAGAACTGATAGAGCTATCTGTTGGAAATCTGTGTAGCTATAAGGCTGTGCTAAAGTACCTCAGGTCTTCAACTCTCTGTAACCACTTGATATAACTCGTTAAATTCTCCAGTTCGTTCACAGTTTTATTCAAACTGTCCAATTGTTTTATCACATTATCAACCTTGCCATTATGTTCATCAAAACAGTCGTTCAGTTCTCCTAAATTACACTGAATCTTATCCACATTCCCTAACACTAAATTTGCATCTTCGATTGTCTTGCCAACACATAGAGGGGCGATGTCTTTATTGGGTTCGGATATTGCCAACTAAAATAAATTATATACGTAACTTAGAAACTAATTTTCCATCCTAGCTTCACCTATGGGATTACCTTTGTGACTCTTGTAGGATCAGATGGATTTTAAGATTTTGCTCAGCAGGGGAGGGATGCTGAAAATTCTGGGGGGGAGTGTGGAAAGTTTGTATGGCGCAACCGAGATATCAGGTATGCAATTTTGATGCTTTCCATATCAAATCTCAGTTGCGCAATTTCCAAACTTTCCCGTTGGGGGGGGGGGGCGAGCAAGTCAAACCCACAAAATTTTTGGGCATTATTTAAATACACAAAGTAATAATAAGATACTTAAATAATAAAATGGAGCACAATATGATATACTTGATATATATTTCATCAACTAACATGCAATTTTAATATATAATTATTTCTATATAACAGAGGGCCATTCCATTTAATATACACCCCCCCTGTGGACGAAGTCAATAAAATTTGAACCCCTAAGAAAAAAAGATCAAAGTGCCGACACAAACACCCCTCCAGAAATTAAGAAATTTTTGCCTTACCCCTCGGAAAAAACGCAAAGATCAAAGGATGCCGATGCACACAACCCCTCAGAAACGGCTTTTTCAACCCCCCTCAGAAATTTTCGTCCACAGGGGGGTGTGTATATTAAATGGAATGGCCCTGAGCATCAATGTCCACGTGTTTTTTATTTCAATTAAACAGATGAAGTGGAAATACACACTACATAAACCAGCATATTTGAGATATTAATATTCATGTCCTTTTGTAATTTTTTCAAACACGTAAAAATTATGTATTAACGATAATACATTTAAAAGTTGCAATATTATATAAAAAAAACAATTCTTTAAAAAAATTCAACCTGCTTTTCCAACGCGTCTCTTTCTTTTTCCATCTTTTCAAGACATTGCCTAACATTGGACAAGTCTTCAGGAAAATTTTCATCCAGGAAACTACACAACTTTCGCTGTAATTTCTTTTCCAAAATAACATTTTCTTGTTCGCTGTTCATTTTCGCCGCCATCTTGTATTTCTTCACCCGATTCACACAGCCGCAAAAACTGGCATGTAGTAAAACACTGACTACCGGAACACCGGAACACCACCGGAACACCGCCGGAACACCACCAGAACACCACCAGAACACCACCTAACCCTAACCCCAACCCTAACCCCCAACCCTAACCCCAACCCTAACCCCCAACCCTAACCCCAAACCCTAACCCCAAACCCTAACCCCAAACCCAAACAAAATGGTGGTGTTCCGGTGGTGTTCCGGTGTTCCGGTAGTCAGTGTTTTACTACATGCCGCAAAAACTGTCGCCTCCGTGCAAATGCAGTTTCATTTCCAAACCGATTATTTTTTGCTTTTTGGGAAGCTAATTGGAAGTTTTAGTTGGAAACTGTAACCCAGTATGTAGTGCAGATAATGGATATAGTTTTATTTAATAAAGTACCATAATTATAGGCTGGTAGTACTCATAAAACCAGTAAAACTGTCCAGCAATTGGTGACATTTTTTGCGGTTGGTGGATATTGTGTCAAAAGTACGAATCACCCTCCAGGTTAAATTACAGATCAGAGTGAGGAGTATTCATTTCACAATCGATCACAAAAGGTCTATTTAATTCTATTTTTATCGATTTCTGCGGTTTTTGATTGAATTTTTAGGGAAGGACATAACTGTTCTGAAAAGGTACGTTTTGCAGTGTGTAAAGAACAACTGATCTGTATTTTAAAGCAGATGCATTATTTGTCGAATTGAGATTGTAAGGTGTGCATGCTAGACGTGCATGCCTCGTGAGTGCACGCTAGCGTTTAATACGCTAAAATTATGCGATCATGCGGATCAGTCAAATGCAAGGAGTGTTAGTTTGCTTACGAAAATCGTGTTCAATATTGCTTTTAGCATTTATGCACTAGAAGTTTATAACCACGAGTTTCATGTAGCAAGCTGCATGATTGCAACATAGCTATGTTTACTCTTGTGTGACATTTTAGTCATACGATCTTGTGCACACCATTGGATTGTGTCAGTGTTGTAACAACTTGGCAACTTTATATTACCCAGTAAATTGATTTAAAATAAATCGAACACAATAAATATACACAGCTATTATCCCATTATTACAAATTTACATTATTCCCCTTATTCATCCACACCATCATTGTGATCACCGTGATCAACCATCACAATCACCACCATCATTACTACCATCATTGTCACCACTGCCACAACCATCGGTACCATAATCACTGCCATCATCATTATTCGGTAGCAACATCAGTACCATCATCAGGACCATCACTACCACCATCATCATGCAATGTAGTATCATCACTACCATCATGTCATGTAGCATCACCATCATCACGCCATGTAGTATCATCACCACTATCACTGCAGCATCTTCACCACCAGTGTCCGACCAGCATCATAACCATCACCATAACTGTTATCACCACAATTATCATCACCACACCATCATCACCAGTACCCTAACCTCACCACCATCATCACAAACATCACCGTGACTGTTATCACCACAAATACCATCATCACCATAACCTCCTTTCACCATTTGACCCTAGATTCAAACCATGGCCAACGTACAACCAGAAGAAAGACATCCACGTGCCCATCAGAAATGGAACGGCTGGGGTTACCAAGACTCAAAGTTCCTCATCAACTCTGAGGGCTTGGCTCAGTTCACCGGCGCTCGCTACCCTATCAGTGGTCAGGTTTTCCCAAAACTTGTTGATTGGTTTGTAAATTATTGCAATGCAAACCTGGAGTTCAAATCCCCTGCACAAAACATACCAAACGAAGATGAACTCCCAAAACCAACAATTAATCAAAAGTTTTTGTATGGCCTTCAGAGTTCTGGATTTGACCATTCTCTTCATGGCCATGAACGGTAAATTGTTTTTTTTAATTTTTTACCTTATGTATACCCTATTTCAATTCTGACATTGCTCCGGTTTCATAAAAATAGAACAAAATTAAGACGACACTATATACAGAAACATCTCATTCTGATCAAACGCAACATGTTGTTTCTTTCACAATAGTTTATTCCGCAGTCACGGGCACACATCCCATGAAATCTATCTTCTACGTCACGGTGCAATACCACGTATACCAGATATAGTGGTCTGGCCACGGCACCATAAGGAAGTCGAAGAAATCGTAGCTTTAGCCAACGACTGTGGCGTCTGTGTGATCCCATTTGGTGGGGGAACCAGCGTATCCAGTGCTCTGGAATGCCCCAGCGGTGAACTGAGGATGATCGTCAGTTTGGATATGACGAAGATGAATAAGATACTCTGGGTTGATTATGAGAACATGACCATGTGTGCCGAGGCAGGGATCATTGGCGAAGATTTGGAAAGACAAGTAATTGGAATGGGTCATTCCAGAAAACATCCATACCTCCACCATGGCAGAAATTGAACGTTAAGCCCCCCTACCCCCTTCAGTGTGGATTCTTTCTGGAATGACCCAATGTTATGGCTCTTTTTTTCTGCAGTAACAGAAACTAACTTTATTATTCATTCATTTGTTATTTTCGTTTAGTTGCATGAGAAAGGTGTCTGTGTGGGGCACGAGCCTGACTCGATGGAGTTCTGTTCCCTCGGTGGATGGGTGGCAACTAGGGCATCTGGGATGAAAAAGAACGTCTATGGGAACATCGAAGATTTATTGGTACACGTGAGGTTTGTCACCCCTCAAGGCACGATGGAGAAGAGTTGTATGGTACCACGCATGTCAACTGGACCGGATATCCATCATGTTATCATGGGATCGGAAGGTACACAATATGTTTGCTTCAGATTAATAGGAATGCAATTACCTGAAAAATACAAGGAGAACTTCAACGTTTCGAGTGAAGGCACTTCTTCGGGATGTTAAGGCAATTTTCCATTGCAGTCGCTTTGCTTGCGCGGGCGGAGGCATGAAAATCTGCTCTTTGCAAATCTGCTCTTTGCAATGAACGCTCCGCCCGCGCGGGCAAAGCGACTGCAATGGAAAATGGCCTTAAGTAACAAACTGTAGTCCGCTACTAAGTTCCCGATGAAGCGCCTTCGCTCGAAACGTCGAAGTTCTCCTTGTATTTTTCAGGTAGTTGTATCCCTATCAATCCAAAGCTTTGTTATCATTCCCACTACCTACACTGGCACAGCCACACACAGTTATATATTAGAGAGGTTAGATACCCCGGTTTCGGTGTACGTGTAGCATGATTTTGGTTAGCAAAATTTGCGTCGATGTCTGTATCTTTACTCGTAATTTAGGTGCACATTTTTCGCATTATATCATTGTCTATTGCAAGAAAACAGAAAAAGTATGATCGAATTGCAGACATCAGTAAAACAAGATGACACTACTCGTACCCGTACACCGAAACCGGGGTATCGTAACCTCTCTATTGTAGCCACCCCGCGCGTTTCTAAAGCTAAACGTGGTATATTCTCTTTTGGTGCTGTAGGTACCCTTGGTGTGGTCACCGAAGTAACATTACGTATTCAGCCGCTACCGGAATGTATAACCTACGGCTCTGTGGTCTTCCCGAATTTCGAATCTGGCGTGGAATGCCTACGAGAGATCGCAAAACTACGCTGCGCTCCGGCTTCGATACGTCTTATGGACAACCAACAGTTTAAATTCGGTCAGACCCTAAAACCACAATCTGGTTCATTTTTTCAATCACTTATGGACGGAATAAAAACCGTCTACGTTACTAGATTCAAAGGATTCGACCCGAACACGCTATGCGTGGCTACCTTGCTGTTTCAAGGCACACGGGAAAGCGTCGAGAACCAGGAGAAGTTGGTTTATGCTATCGCGAAGAAACATGGCGGGCTGTCAGCCGGAGCTGAAAATGGGCGACGCGGTTACATGCTGACGTTTGTAATCGCTTATCTCCGTGATCTGGGCTTTGACTACAGTTTCATCGCCGAATCGTTTGAGACATGCGTGCCATGGGACAGAGTCGCCACCTTGTGTCGTAATACCAAGGCTGCTATATATAAGAAGTGTAAAGATCTGGGAATCCAGTATAAGCCATTGGTCACGTGCAGGGTGACTCAGACCTACGACACTGGTGCTTGTGTGTATTTCTACTTTGGCTTCAATTACCACGGACTGCCCGATCCGTTAGCCTTGTACCAGGAAATCGAAGACGGTGCCAGGGACGAAGTGTTAGCCAATGGTGGCAGCCTCTCGCATCATCACGGCATTGGCAAGTTAAGAAAGAAATGGCTTCCGGCGACGGTCTCGACCGTTGGCGTCGAAGTCATGCGAGGGATTAAGAAATCTTTGGATCCTAACAATACCTTTGGTAGCGGAAACTTAATATCGAAATTATAAGAACAAGGAACAAAACTTATACAGAAACGAAATCATACGTTTGTGGAGATTATATGGTCATGGATTCAATTATTATATGCACCTCAATTGTAGATTGGTCGGCAATCGGTAAAAACTTATTAGTCCGTTTAGAACTACTTAATAAAACAATGGCATTGAGATGGTCGTACTATTTTATCAAATGACAATCTATGAAAATATTAACTAAGTCTTTGGTAGACAATATAGTTATGATTGTGATAATTTATTCTCAAAAGAATGGAGAATAGTACATTTTGACATTGCTTATAGTCGATAGATTTTTTACAATAATACAATAAAAGTATAGTGAATATGTTTATCATATTTTAATAAACAAATTAAATTTTTTGCTCAGTTTCCATTCTTCATCTCAGGGACCTAAAAAATACCAAGTTCCACCATTACAAAAAAGACTGCGACATTCAAAAATTCATTTCTCGGAAATCTGAAAGCACACCTTTCAAAATTCGTCACTACCTTGGCTGGGAGTGGGATGGCCGAGACATGTTATTTCACAATCTTCTTTTTTCACAAAATTATTCCCATTTGCCGAACATCCTCCAAAGATGAACATCTCGCAAGCCTTGCTTTGTTGATTGTAGTAATATCTCGGCATGGCAGCCCGACAAGGTCCAACGAACTTTGGCTCGAAACAAGGATTTGTCCCATTGGCATCGTGTGTTTCGGCTTGGGAAACCGAAGGCCCCCAATAGTACACACCTATAAATGTAAAGGATGCGGAATTTTGTGAACTAATGGCTGGTTTACACTATCAAAATTTCTGTGGAGGGGGGGGAATAGGTTTTCGGATCGTCGGATTTCATAGAAAAAAATTTCGGATCTGGCGAATATTTTACACGGATTAATACAGTGGTTGCGGATTTATCAAATATTTTGGCTCGGATTGTGGATTTAGCTTGCAATTTAATTCGGATCCTGGATTGTGACTTCATAGTATATCTTTTAGCGGATTCAAATTTAGACAAGGCCATTGTCGGATCGCGGATTTTGCTTCAAATTTGAGCGGATTTGTATACCCCTATTCACCACCCCTATAAATTCTACATTTTGAACGATTTGTAAATTGTAAGAAATGTTTGAGGAAACGGACTCATTGTTTACCACGGTCTTACCTAGCCTCCTCCGCAGGCATCTCATGGTTAATTCACTTATTTTTTGGCCTGCAAGCATATTTTGCCCGATAATCTAATGGCGATGCCTGCGAATGATGTCTTACCCATAGAAATAATAGACAGGTCTAATATTTCTATGGTCTTACCACGATCAGTGGCGTTTACTAGCGAGTGAGTTCCCTCAAACATTTCTTACAAATCATTCAATTCTCAGAATGTACACATGCAAAATTCCTACTGTGATCACAGAAACTTTGATAGTGTAACCTACAAGCATACATATTCAAAACATATCCACAAGTTATAAATCTGAATACATTACATGTGAAAACAGTTCATCAACTTACCACAGAGAAGCACAACAAAAACCACAACAGTCCACAACAAGTGTCTTGAATTAGCCATGAGATTACAGAACCGAGTAATTATTTCATCAAGAAAGCGAAAATGATTAAGATTTTGAAAAACTGCGCAATGTTTACACAACCGACATGTGTCGAACAAAGCATATGTGTGGATGTTTGTTCATGGTATTTACATGGTAATTATAAAATCCGAAGCGCTTTTGCCTGTAATTGGTTGAAATTCCAACTGTTGCAACAAAAACCTTTGTTGCACCAGTCACGCGTTTTGCGCACGGGAAAATTTGAATAAAAATAGTGACTTAATTTTGTGCATAATTTAGTGTCTACACTACAATATTTTAACCGCATTTCTTAAAATACATTTTTTAAAAGGTTTAAACTTTTTCGTGAGTATACGTTTATAGCTTGTTGGCATTGCTTTAAAACAACTAAAATTATTATTTTACATGGAGGTCTTGGGAAAAAATATGCCAAAAATGTAAGGCTTGAACGGGTCTAGATAATAGACTTTTTTAAAAAGTCTGCCTTGTGACGTGTTTGCGGATAAATACGATCATTTAGCCAATCAAGCAAGCCAAATGGCTGTGCGGGGTTTTCCTTTATCCGAAAACTACGTCACAAGCACAAAGCAGACTTTTTAAAAAGGTCTATTGGGGAAGTATTTGTTACCTCAGTCACGTATTCGGATCATCCCATATTATGATTACACAAACTAAACAACACTAGTATCCCACAGGTCGGGGGTTCGATTCCCACCGTGGTCAGGCAAACTTTTCAGCTTGCCAGGTGTGGATGGAGGATCTAAATGGGGGGGGGGGTCTGAAAATCTGTAAACAGTAAAAATTTTGGTATTTTAACGGTAAAATTTTGGTATTTTAACGGTAAATCTTTGAAAAGTGTTCTGAAACGGTAAACAGTATTTTTCCCTCACGATTCAGGGTAAATTTTTAGTGTTTTCACGACTGACGATAACCGAAATTGAGTGAATCACGACTCACAATATACCCCATCAACACCCTCTGGATGCACACTCAGAGTAACACCGTGCACAAACAACATTGATCAAGTTTGAGTAAGTTTAGTTTAGCGCTAAAAATACCTACTATATGTTTTAAGAGTGTTTACACATGCATCGTTTTTATTTCAATGTCATTTTGTAAAGCAGTTTATTTTATCCCCATATTTTTACTGTCGTTCCAATTGAAGTGTTCCTCAAATATTGATTCAATACATTACCTCAGGCTGACCAATTCATTTCATCAAGTTCCTCAAGATATTCATACACTTCCTGTGAAAGAGGCAATTCCAAGTATTTGATCATTTCTGATCACTTCCTTTCTATTTATGATTGGTTAGTTGCACAGACAACAAAGGTGATTGGTGCATTCAAACTATTCAACAGGAAGTTTACAATTATACTAGGAAGTGTATGAATATTTCGAGGAACTTGATCAAATGAATTGGTCAGTCCGAGGTAATGTATTGAATCAATATTTGAGGAACACTTCAATTGGAACGACAGTAAATAACTGAGAATTCTACCTGTATCTACCTGTTGTGGGCAATATGCAAGTTTAAGAAAAATGAATGAGGAGAGTAAAGTGTGCTACATAGCACATAAAACAGCACGTTTAGATGTACCAGTGACAGTCTAATTCCAAACATCTTATGCTATCCCTAATCAATCTATGTCTCCTCTGGTCTTTCCGGAGGATTGCCACATGGCTGCAACATTTTCTAAAAACATTTAAAAAGAAAAATACATTAGTCTCATATTATGTTAGAGAAATATTTCAGGGGATCCTAATAAATGTTCCCAATGTACCAGTTCAGAAATGATTTTTCAATATTTGATTTGATCCCAAGGACAAAAAAATATGTGGGTTTCCGGTTTCCCGACCCTACCTAGCTTTTGGATGCCGAAATCCCGACCCTAAACTTTTTTATTGGATCATGCTTGCAAGTGTTTCCACTTAGAGGAAAATGTTTGTAGAAAATGGAAATTTGAGGCAATTTTAGGGAAATATATTTTTGGATGTGGAAGCACTGACTAAACAAAATGGCGTCCAGTTGTTAGGAAAATTAAAAAAAAAGTTTAAAAAAAAAATTAAAACCGACCTACCCTACCTAAGTTTTTACAAGAAGAAATAGGAAACCCACATATTTTTTTTGCCCAATAGACTTGATTGTTTATTGCACTTTTTCCCCAATGGCCTGGTTTCCATGTTTGCCTGTTTTAGCATGGGAGACACACATGAAGGTTATATCCCCATGTTTCGTGCACGAAGACGTTTCTCTTTGATCTTGAGACCAATTACAAACCTATCCTTAAACCTATTGTGCATGACACAGGAGGAAATAACCATATAAAACAAGGCCATTGGGGCAAGATTGCAATAAGCAGTACACTCTATTGGGTAGCAGAAGTTATTGAAATGATCAAAGTTATGGAGTTACCTCCAGTAATGTGAATTTTACTCTCGCTTTTGATTCATTCTCGGCTAAGGCAAAGTAATCCAACAGGTTTTCATGTCCAATGTAAGATGCGGCACTGTCGCGATGCTGGTTCACTAACCATTCACTGCAAGAGATAACAGACGTTTTGTTGGCATTATTCCATCTTGTATCCACTCAAGATAATCACACACCAATACCAGAGGGTGATCCAGGCTCAAATGACAAAAGGGGTACACACTTTGCATGGGGAGGGGTGTGCATATTTTGTGTGGGGGTTGCACATTGGGTCATAATTTATGGAAAAGATCCACTCAACCCAACTTGGAGGAAATTTCTGCTGTCCGGAGGTGGAGGAAAATTTGTTTCTGATACGACATCCATAGGGGTAAGGGGTCAACTTCCAATTTTCTATGTGAGGGAGCTCAAGGCATGGATGTTTTCTGGAATGACCCATTTCTAGAAACTTGATAATTTTCAAAAATCATCTTCGTGGTGAGTGGTTGGGTACCAACCTTTTGGGGTGCTGACATTGTGGACTCAATCACATTAACAATACACAGCACAACACAACATGAATTAATTTTGCAATGAAAACTTACAATTTAGTTGTGTCTGAGTGTCCTGTTCCTACATACTTGGACTGCACTGTAATTGAACAAAATCAACAGAACTTAAAGTCTTAAACGTTATAAATACTGGAGTTAATACAGTTATCTACATCTGTACATGGAATACATACCATACACTACTCAGAATAATGTATTAAATCCGTTATTTCACACTCTATACAGTCTGAACTATCATATGAACCACGTGAATTATGATATAAAATATGACATGTTTAGATCTATTTTAGAAGAAAACAACACTTACGATGCTCCAATTGACTGTGAATATTGTACCTGTCATTCTAGAAACATAATTACACAATTTAGTGAGTAAAAAACTATGTAATTTCTGATAAACTCCACAAAAAAATGAAAAATAGCTCACCATTTTGAATAGCTCCCTTGGGCCTGCACGCGGGCTACATTTTGAATTCTTCAGAATTTTACCACTAGCTCCCAGACCACTCGCGGAAAATACTTAAAGTGGCGGTGAAATGATTTGATCATTACCGTCGTTTGCGTCTACGGATGAACAGTAGCAGAAAAAATAATTGTCACTTTCACGTGAGATTCATGTTTGAAATTTTTAGGATTTGAAGTTTCAATTAGGCCAGCCAATCAACGTGAGGCAACGGAAACTTATTCGCTGTTCAGATTAAAACCTATCATATTAGGATCAGATGAACTTGGTTCCACCATGCAAAATACTCGATTTTCCTCACTATTTATAGCACTGCATATATTTGATAAACAACTTGTTACATTTAACGCTATTTACAATTTCATGCAAAATATTGACCCTGCCATAGTATGAATCTTAGTGGTATATCATTTACACTATATAAAGTAACTTGTAAATCTGAGGTTAGACCAGAGAATAATTATCATAGATTGGTTTTTCCATTTGAAAACTTTATGGGTCATTTCAGAAAATATCCATACCTCCCACATAGAGGAAATTCGAAGTTAACCCCCTCCCCCCTTCGGATGAACTTCTCCCCTCCCCCTAGCCTCTGGAACTCAGAAATTTCCTCCTTGGGGAGTGTGTGGATCTTTTCTGAAATGACCCAATGTGGAATTATTGAGTTTACATTATTATTAATTAAGTAAATACTGGTTTCCATTTAGCCATGGCTACTTTAAATAACATCATGATCACTAAAATGAAATTCTCTGAATATATTTTGTCGTTTGTGTGCTGTATGTAAATCAATCTTTACTAATGGTAGACACATAAAAACACACGAGTTCTAACAAACCTGCAGCAATGTTATTCCAACAACTTGTCAACAGGACATGTTCGCACTGCTTGTTCCCAGCTTGTTGACAACTTGCTACAAGGTTTTTAAGCTCAACAGACTTGTTACAAGTTGTTCCAACACCTGGTTATCGGCCTGCAATTCAATGATTTGTCAACAAGTTGCAAGCGACCTTGTATCAATGTGATAAAAAAACAGCATTGTTACAACTTGTTGACAACCTTGCTATAAGCCTGTTACGAACATATCTTGTTGACAATTTGTGAGGTTTTGACGTGTGTAGAGATATATCGACACTATTATCTTGGCTACCTTGATATTGGGGCAACTGTGAATTAAGACCAAATGGAAACCAGGCTTAAATCATACAATATCAATTAATTCTGTATTTTTACCCATATGTTTTGGAATTACAGTCTACAGATTTCACAACAAAACATTTTTAAAATCTTCATGGTTCAACGACACCGAAGAATTGTTTAACAACGAGGAGATTACCAGCTTCACTCAGAGTCTCGGGCAGAGTTGCGGTGCTTCCGGTTCTCTTTGTAGTGATCAGATCTCATGCGATTCTTCATGTACCAGGGCTCGTCTTCGCTGTCCGAGTCAGAGGTTCGTTCTCTGGCCTTTCTCGGGCTTCTGCTTCTTTCTCGGAGGCTGTGATTTCTGTTGTTCTTCTCAGGCTTGTAGTTAAGTGGCAGACGAGGAGCATTGTCATACACCCTGGAGAAACATTGAAATTTGTTTCATGTTGGTTTTAGTATGATGGTGATGATGATGGTAGTAGTGGTGATGATAGTGATAATGACAATGGTAACAATGATCAAAATGGTAGCGACTCACAATTACCTTCTCAAGATGATCACAGCTCGTCTTTCCGTCACATCTTGTGGTCGAATGCAATGTGTTATACCATCGGCTGCATAACCACTGGAAACAATTAAACATTGATTTAAGTACCATACTTACTGTATACATAACTTCGAACATTAACAGATTGAGTGACAGCACTCTCCCCTTGATGGGTAAAATCATCCGGCATTTGACAGAGTAAAATAATAAAGTATGGAACATTAACACTGGATATACCAGATAATGGATTGACCAGACTATCCTTCCATGTTAATCTGCAATGTTGTTTTATTTTATCTAAAAATCATTCTTGGTTTACCTACCTAAGAACGGTGACACATCCGCGAGAGATGGGCAGAGATAGCACAGGGGTGGTGGTTCGGATTGGCTTAAAGCTAAACTTACACCCGAAACACAAAGACGAAGCACTGAAGAATGAAGCAGACACTATGGGCCTATCAAAGATATGACCCGGGTCGATGTGCGATACGATACAGCCCCCGGGTTGATAATCGTTGATTACCGCACTATTTATAAAGTTCTTAGGAACGATTCCCGCATCGACAATCTTCCTTTCAACCATGTCGAAAATCCATTTTGGAATGTCATCGACAACCCCCCGGGCATAGAGCCTTTCTTGCCCCGGACCCCTTTCACTCATCTGTTTGCCGTAGGTGTACCCCTCTCCAAAGAAATATTTTATTCTTAAGGGGGCTCTATCAACAGTTTTTTCACGATAGCGTCCTTTTTCCGCGTTTGCAACAACTTCGTCGATTTTTTTTTCGATTTTTAGGCAATCTTCGTCGTCAAACAGAGCACGCTGTGTGATGCCTTCATGGATTTTTTCCAATTCAGTGGAGTCGCCATTTTCGCTGTGGGACTCGTGGGAATTGCGTCTCGTTTGTCTACGCTCTCTCTTTATCTCTCTATCTTCCTCCAAAGTTCTTCGTTTTCGTTTAAAGATGCCGTTTAACTTCGTGCGAAGGTCCACAACTTCCTCAATTTTTGTTGATGATTTTTCGGCCATATTGCAAGCTCGCTTCTTTTTTACGCTTTATAATTCGTTACCACTCTCCCAGACTCCCACGCTCGAGTCGTCACTGATCTGCATTTTACAACTGGACTACGAAATCTCAAATTTTTCTCGATAATACGTCATGAAATTGTCTTGATTGAGAAAGCCTCGTTCTCGTGAATTAAGACGTAAGGCGATTGGCTCACGATTCATAAGAATGAGCCAAGGAGATATTTGTGACGTAATTATCGCAATGGCGAGAAAATATTATGTGAGAAAATCAGCATGACTTTGTATCAGATATACAAACTCCTTCACGCTCGTGATTTCTTTTGTGTTTTCTTCATGAATTATTAATGAGTTTCTCAAAGACAATTATAATACATAGATGCAAACATGGAAAATAAAAGACAGTTTTCATTATCCATCATAGAAACAAACACATCAGAATTGATAGCATTTTAATTTTAATACATGATTCTTTTATTTTTTACATGTAAGATATATATCCAACGACAAGGTTGCACACAAATCTCTAGTAACGATCAGCTGTCAATGTTTGACCAAGCTAGAAGAACGAAAATTAACATGAAGTAATTATTGAAATTAAACACAAAATGCAAAAAATAGGCTAAATAGCAGCAACGAACCTCTTCGAATTTTATGATTTGTCGGATGAAGAAATTTCCATATCCTCGCTCAACTTTAGTGTCTGCGATATGAATCATATCCTAAAACGAGAGAAGAGTGCTTCCAGTTTAACAGTTTAGAACTGATAGAGCTATCCAGTATAAAGTTAGTTTAGTTTAGGTTTCCTCCTGTAGTAACACTGGATCAATAAGAGATGAGCCTTACTGGACCTCTAGGAAGAACAGTTTAGAACTGATAGAGCTATCCAATATAAATAAAGTTAGTTTAGTTTAGGTTTCCTCCTGTAGTAACACTGGATCAATAGGAGATGATCCTTACTGGACCTCTAGGGAGAACAGCTTAGAACTGATAGAGCTATCCAGTATAAATAAAGTTAGTTTAGTTTAGGTTTCCTCCTGTAGTAACACTGGATCAATAAGTGATGATCCTTACTAGACCTCTAGGGAGAACAGTTTAGAACTGATAGAGCTACCCAGTAAAAAATACTAACATTTTCGATATAGAAGTCAACGTCGGAAGATGACTGGAATTCTCCTTCTAAAGCATCCGGGCCTTTTGTCCACGTGAGATGACGTTGTTTATGCTAAATAAAGATAAAATACAATAAGTTTTCAAACACACACAGACATTTTCCCGTGATATTTTTTGTTGTTCACAAGTCTGGGACAGTTACTTGCCTTGTAGCACAGAAGTTGAGTCCGAAGTGTTTCTTCATCCTTAAAAAAATAAAACATTGAGGTACCATTACTTCTGATATAACCACAATTAAGGGTTGCTTAGATAACAGGTTTTTTTTCAGGATTATCTCTTGGGTCCGTTTTTGCAGAGAAGATTGAGTTTACCTGAACAGCTGGGGGTCTGGGGCAGCTGTGGGAGGCTGACTCCTGTACCCAATAAGTGTAGTTGAGACGCAATATGTTAAAGCAGACACTATAAACTGGTTAAAGATGGCGAATGCGTTGTTTTTCTTGTGTTGTGAAATGAATTCCAGCCATTTTTTCCTGATTGTTGGGTTTCCAACTGAAACTAATTTGCACACGTCAAGAATTTAACTCAAACAACTTCATTTTTACTGCACTGAAACTTTTGGTGAGAAAATTGAGTTTCAAAACTCAATTCAAGACTGAGTTTTTGGGACCGTTTTACGGTCCTAAAAAATCCCTGAAAAAAATCCTGGATAACCATGCGTATCTTAACTTACCATGTCGAGGAACGCGGCCAATTTTGTTATTGGCATTGTCGTATATAACTTGAGGTAACTACAAGAGGATGGATAAATTTACTCACGCATCGTCACAATTTAGAAGAATCCACTGTTTCATAATTTTTCAAGTGTTAAAATTTACCTTCGTATGATCGGAATCAGTGACTGCTGTCTCATTTCTTGAAGAAAATTCTTCAATTGGATATCGAATGCCTCCTAAAACAGTCAAGAAAAAACAATCAATACAATAAATCTAACAATACCATATGTAGGATTCCCTGACAGGAATTGAACCTACAATACCCATAAAAAACTATTCATTCGAATGAGATGCCACAGAAATCGTGATATTTACCCATAACCTATACATGGCAGTACCCCAGTATATATACATGAACTTGTGGTTAGAGCTCGACAACTGGCCTCTGTAGCTCAGTTGGTTAGAACACTGCACCGGAATCTCAGGTTCAATTCCTGCCAGGGACCTAAAGTTGCACTTTTCGCTTCTGTTCCTGGTTAGGTCTAATAAATGTACATAAACTTCCACTCGACAATTTCCATTTACAATACTCATCAAATACATAAGTTAGAGGCTATAGTAGTTAGGCAGCGAATGGATGAATACTGATTATAATCTTGAATGGTCTTTTACCCGGTGATATTTTCCCGGTGCTGCATCATAGTTCGGCGCTGACGGAGTGACGAACTTCGGACATGCAAATGAGAACATTTCCTCGAGTAAACCAAGGTCACTAGAAAGACGAATATACAATAAGTATGACTTTTTCTGTGTCGGTGTAATGTACTCAGGTGAATGTGATGCTTGTGGTGTTACTCTGAGTGTATATCCACACCGGGCAAGCTTAGTATTCCAAAGGTCGTAGGTTCGATTCCCACCGTGGTCAGGCATATTTTTCAAGCTTGCCCGGTGTGGATATACACTCAGAGTAACATCACAAGCATCATACAATAGGTAGTTAGAAAAAATGTTTGTGTTGAATTTAATTCATAAACTGTCATACCCTCTTTGAAGTTTGATCATTTTCTCATTGTAAGTTTCACGAAGATGTGCGTTGACATTCTCATCAATACGCTAAAAAATAAACGCCAAATTTAATATAGGTCCAACACCGGACCTTCGTGTTCATACGATGATAGATCCGACAAGGGACGGCAAAAAAATTGACACTATAATTACAAAATAATCAATAGCATTTGAGAAGTTTTTCAACTTTTCAGTAATACAATCCAACAACGTACCTGGGGTGACAAGGAAAGGCAGATAGCTAGCAGCGTGTACATTTTATCATTCATTTTCTTGATCTGTGAAGGAAAAATAAATATAGATGGGATTCACATTCTTTTACACACGTAAAAACCTCGCAATTTGTCAACAAGATGTGTTCGCAACAGACTTGTAGCAAGCTTGTCAACAAGATGTGTTCGCAACAGACTTGTAGCAAGCTTGTCAACAAGATGTGTTCGCAACAGGCTTGTAGCAAGCTTGTCAACAAGATGTGTTTGCAACAGGCTTGTAGCAAGCTTGTCAACAAGCTGTAACAATGCTGTTATTTTATCAAGTTGCTACAAGGTTGTCACTCACAACTTGTTGACAAATTGTCGAATTGCAGGACGATAACAAGTTGTTGGAACAACTTGTAACAAGTCTATTGAGCTCAACAACCTTGTAGCAAGTTGTCAACAAGCTGGGAACAAGCAGTGCGAACACATCCTGTTGATAAGTTGTTGGAACAGCATTATGCTACAAGTCTGCTGCAGGTTTGTTACAACGTGTGCATTTTTACGTGTGTATACTTACAGCGTCGATTTGATAAGCTCGATTCTGAATCATCGGCTTGGCACGTTGAATGTACAGAAGAATATTACAGAAACTTCGAATCGCATCCTGGACAAAGAAATGAAGTCAGATTCAGGGGTGGAAAAAATAGGCGGAGCACTGCTTGCAGGAAATGTTAAACATCTGCAGGAAATTCGTTTGAAGGAAGATTTGCTATTGAAAATTTGAAGGAAACCTTAACACCCATGTCCCACTATGGGCGCAACAACATTTGCTTGACAGACACTATTCCTTGAATTTAAAACCATGATCAGCTAGAACACTATATGTTTATGCACATGATGCAGATTCAGCACAAAAATACTCCGTTGGTCTGCAGGAAATTTTTGTCTCCAGGTTCTGTTGGTTCGTTTGTTAATCCTTACTTGATATCGTCTCATCATCAGATACGCAAAACCCACATAGTAATATGTTGTGATTTGACAAGCTGGAACTCGCGAATACATGCTCTGAAATTAAAAGACAAAGGAGTGCTTTTAGTGGATGGCCACATAGAACTGAACACCTAATCAAATTATAAAATTTGTCCACACAAACCTTGCGATTGAGTTCAATATTTCCGAGAACTTTCAATGCCATAGAGTAATCGCCCAGCAATGAGTGTAGTCGTAGTAAACCAATCAGACTGAAGTAGCCCAACATTTTGTACAGTGGTCGAATACCAAACTGCCCTGCGACGGTGTCTGGATCACCACCTGTACGATATTCCTCTAACTGAAATGTTGAAAATAATGTCCCAAATCTTTCATGGTTTAAAATTAAAATTTTTTCTATCGCGCAAATTTAATGCGCGATAATTTACATGCGCTTTACATCAAGTATTATAAGCTTACCTTTTCACATGCTTAGCCTACACGGTAAAAAACGCTCAAGTTGATGCAATACTGATGAAAACAGGATTGAACAATGTTTTGCTGCCCACATTGTTCATAGCTGTCAACAATATCGAACAATATTGTTACACCCGATTCAGGCTCAACAATATTGTTCAATATTGTTGACAGCTATGAACAACGTAGGCAGCAAAACATTGTTCAGTCCTGTTGAGCAACGGGCTCGGCGTTTTTTGCCGTGTAGACTATTTTATCTTTACAACAATTGTGATATTAGTTTCTTAACTGTGTTCATCCTAACCCACCCTGTCAACTTTCCCTGTGGGAGGAAACCGGAGCACCCGGAGAAAACCCACAACTTTTGCCGTTGGCTGACTCTTTTAATTCATACGGCGTAAAAAAAAAATACCTGTGGTTCCGGTTCCTGACCGACCCTATTTTTTTTCTGCCGACCCTATTATTTTTTCAGCGCGATTGACCGTACAAACTTATTTTCTCCAGGTGGTTGCGGGCTGCTCATACAGCGTGCCAAAATGGCGTCTGTTGTCACACTAATTATTGAATGAAATTGCCTAACTTCGTCCATAGGAAATACGCATCTCTAGTTAATATTGATGTCAGGACTCTACTGCAAATCGCCCAGCAAAAAACCGCTAAAACCATGAAAAAAATATTCAAAAAAAAAATTTATTTCCGACCTACCGACCCTAATTTTTTCACGATATGAAACTGGAACCACAGGTATTTTTTTTACGCCTATGAATACATAGAGAGAATCGAACCCACCATCTCAGAGGTGAAAGGCAATAGAGTATTTGTGTGAACTAAATCAGACATGATAGTACCTGTTCATAAATTCTTGACTTGTCAACAAGCGAGTGAAGAACATTTAACACACTATGGACATTCCAGATCTGAAAAGCACAAGATTTAATGAAAAATTTATCTTTCGACTTTACAAACTTTAATCTTGCTTATGTAATTCAATGGTCAATTTTAGACAATCACTATATATCTGGCCTTTGTACACCTTTGCCCCTTTTGTACAGGGTGACAGTTCAAAAAAATCACTATATATCTGGCCTTTGTACAACTTGTCCCGATTGTACAGGGTGACAGTTCAAAAAAATCACTATATATCTGGCCTTTGTACAACTTGTCCCTATTGTACAGGGTGACAGTTCAAAAAAATCACTATATATCTGGCCTTTGTACAACTTGTCCCTATTGTACAGGGTTTACCTTTGGATTTTCTTTCAGCAGTTGGATCTGATCCATGCCCAGTTTACCAAACTTGTAGCGGAACAAACTGAACGATTGAAACTTGATAAAAAATATAACAGAAAATCAGAGAAAATTTTGAACCATGATTAATAATGTCAAAAAGACTCAAAATGAAGAGATTTAATGCATACCTGGTATATAAATTCATCAATAATATCCCAGAGCCATTGGTTGGGCAACACAAGTGGGACAGGTTCATCTGTGTCTAGAAATGTGATGTTAATAAATAAGTACAAGTTAATAGATCTACTAACAGTACATCAAATTAATTTTGAAGTAAAAAAAGTTTGGCGTGTTTCAAAAAAAGTTTGGTGTGTTTCAAAAAGTTTTAGTGTGTGTTTTATCAGACCTAAAGATACTCGGCTTAGCCTTGTATGTTTATATCTGATAAACAACTGCTGTTCATGTTTTAAATAGTACTTAAGAGTTCTTTTGAATGAGACAAACTATTTTTTATTGTCAATGTCCTTTAAAAAATCAATCACCATACATATAGAATAGAAATGACCTACTTAGTATATAGTTAAAAAGATCACAATAATTATAATAAGAATCAATCCTTTGTTCGATTGTTGGCTGAAAAAAATAAAATAAAATTTCATCAATATACAGTACCATGCATACATCAATTCTGCATTGCAAATTTGTTACTATGTTTAGCGCATATTAATTGTTAGTAATAAGAACGAAAGATTTCAACCTTTAATTTTGCATAAACATGTCTGAAGCATAACTCCTTATAAAGTGTCAGGAAAAGTGGATCTAAAAATGTAATAACAATAATTAAACTAACCAATATATTCAAAACATTAAGTTCATAATAAGGACATACCATCGCCCACAATAGGTGCGATCTGGTCAGCTTCGGGCCAGGGTGCCTTAGGGAACTTTTCGTCACTCAGCCGTGTAAATCTATGCAATCATATCATAAAATGTTTAGTAAGGGGGTTGAAGCAATTAGCCGTTCTCACAAAGGCTAAAATCTGCCATTTTTGGGGACTGTCTGCCCTCGTGAAAGATTCTAGACAATTCAAACAACGTGAGAAAAGCGATTTTTAAAAGTTGTAACTGTAAATTTACCATTATACAAACAACTGCAATACCTCCTGGTGTGGAGACTCTCAAACGTGGGAGAGACAGTACCCCAAAAATGGCCCAAAATCAGACGTGAGAAATGCTATAATAGATGGTGTTGAAAATTAAGGTGATGCATTAATTTTCCAATGGGGTGCATTGATTTCCCAGGGGGGGGGTTAGAACTTTGCCATAGAGTGCATTGATGTACGGTAACTTTGATCTAACATTTTCAGGGGGTGTGGTTCATTGATGTAACATTTCCAGGGGGTGCATTGATGGAACTCTTCCAGGGATGAATACATGCAACGTTTACACAAAGTGCATTGATAGAATGTTTCCTAGGGGTGCAAAAAATACAAATATACATTTTAATTTCATCTTACCCACTTTCATACATGGCATGTATTTCTCGAACATTCTGTTGAAGAAAATTTCAAAAAATCCTTGACTATCACACTTCATGTTTTTATCCTTCCTAGCTAACCAACAATACACGCTTCTAAAAAATATGTCACTTTGGCTACAGAGCCGACATTTTAGTGATTGAGATGCTTAAATTTAACTAATCTCACATACATGGAAACAAGGTTCTATTGCCAAAATGACATCTTTCTGGAAGGGTGTATTAACCCATTGAGTCGCATTGCACTCTGATGCGCCCCACTTTATTATTTTACTCTGTCTAACGCCTGACGATTTTACTCGTCAAGGGGAGAGCGCTGGCACTTAATGTGTTAACTGGCCTATCTGCTCAGGTTCTAGTTAACCCATTGAGTCCCTGATGCACCCCACTTTATTATTTTACTCTGCCTAACACCAGATGATTTTACTTGTCAAGCGCTGGTACTTAATGTGTTAACTGGCCTACCTACTCAGGTGTCTAGTTAAGCCATTGAGTCGCCGATGCGCCCCACTTTATTATTTTACTCTGCCTAACACCATAAGATTTTACTTGTCAAGGGGAGAGTGCTGGCACTTAATGGGTTTAACAAAATTAATGTACAATACTTATACAACTAATATTTTCAGTACCTGCTCATGGATGTGTTTCTGAAAATACTTGATGAAATTTTTAACTTCTTCTACGACATAACTTTCGGCATGAGAGTCTTGATTCAAATCTGGAAAAATTGAACATCATGTAGACAACATCTGGTTGGTCAAATATTTCTCCAACCCCTGAACCCCATGTCTGTAAATAGTTTTTATAACAAACCTGCATCCTGATAATGTGAATCATAGTCATCACCAGGATATCCATATACCCCTGCGATTGCACCAGACTCTAGCTATATCATACAACATAAATAAAATCAGCCATGATAATATAAATTTTAACAAAGTCAACAATTCTGATATATAATTTAATAGTGACCCAAAAATATATATTTATATCCATACCTCCGCCTCAACGAATTCCTCGGCTTGCGTGTACATTTCCTAGTGTTTTCATACAATATTGAACTTTTTATTTATATCTTTTATTGACTTTTAAACATAGTTTTTATCACACGTGAAATAAAAATATAGTTCCCTTCACGTTTTGTAGAATTGTAGTACATTACGGTACATCACGGCGTTGCCGGGACTCCACAGAACATAAGGGTACATAAAAAGTATTTAAGGTATCGTATGGGACGGTATTAACTATTTCGCTGACCTCAGAATGACATTTCGTCAAAACTTTTTTCTTCAAGATTGGTTTAGAAACAAATTTGGAGTAGGGTTAGGTTAGGGTTAGGGTAACGATTAGGGTTAGGGTTAGAGTTGGTGTTTGGAGTACGGTTAGTGTTAGTAAAACCGTTGCTTTGTTACGTTTTGTCACTCTGAGGCCAGCGAAATAATCTCTTCCGTATGGGACTCTACCACTGAGCTATACCAGGGGCGGCGGAACAGATTTCGTTCTGGGGGGGCTAAATTTTTTCGGCGACCTCCTCTCCCCCCCCCGTCGCCAAAAAAATTTCGGTCAGTGTACCACTTTAGGGGTACAATATAACAAAAAAGGGACGAAAAAAATTTTTCCGGACTTATATCAAAAAATTTTTCCGGAAATAGGTCTTTTTCAAACAAAATATTGCAAATTTGTCCCCTTATACCCAAATTTTCAAAAAATAACCTAAATTTTTCCCTAATTATCAAAATTTTTTCAAAAATTTCAAATTTTCTGGGGGGGCTTTAGCCCCCCTAGCCCCCCCCCCTGTTCCGCCGCCCCTGAGCTATACTATAGCTCAGTGGACTCTACTGAACATAAGGGTACATAAAGTTACAACAAAGTACATTAAGGTGCAGACGAACAATGTTGAACAACCATTTAATTCAATTAACACCTCTTCCATCTTCCCAAAATGACGTCACGTCAATGACGTGATTGGGCCGGAAGGAACCACCACCAATCGACCGCTCATACTCATATATACAGGGTGTCTCAAAAAAACCCAAAATCATTGAAATAACGTATTGTTCGAATTTCAATGCCGTAACACAAAGGATTTTGACAGGGTGATTAATTTGTTTTAAAAAATTAAAATATCTTTGTGAAGTGAACGTTTGTTTGCTCATGGGAATTTAAAAATGCTTCGTAAATTCGTGGGTTTAGTACTTTATGCCTGACATAACAAGTTTACGCTGAGTATTACCATTCATTATAGCAGTTATGTCAATCTTTTATGCACTCGTGGGATTAACTTAGTGCTAGGGCATTGAATATCGAACAATACGTCAATTTCAATGATTTTGTTTTTTTTTGAGACACCCTGTATAGCCACGGCGGTCTGTGGCTAAAAAGTATACCAGATTTCAGTATACTTTTTAGCCACGGCGGTCTGTGGCTGAAAATTATATCAGATTTCAGTATACTTTTTAGCCACGGCGGTCTGTGGCTAAAAAGTATATCAGAATTCAGTATACTTTTTAGCCACGGCGGTCTGTGGCTAAAAAGTATATCAGATTTCAGCAGATACTTTTTAGCCACGGCGGTCTGTGGCTAAAAACTATATAGAGATTTCAGTATACTTTTTAGCCACGGCGGTCTCTGGCTAAAAAGCATACCAGATTTCAGTATACTTTTTAGCCACGGCGGTCTGTGGCTAAAAAGTATACCAGATTTCAGTATACTTTTTAGCCACGGCGGTCTGCGGCTAATGAGAATCGTGCTTATGAGAATCCCGTATTGTGGTGTCTCATAAGCACGTTCATAATCCGATAATAATGCTCGTGCTCACGAGTACACCGGATTTTGGCACATATATGGGCGTGGTTATGAGAATCCCGTATTGTGGTGTCTCATAAGCACGCTCATAATTCGCTAATAATGGTCGTGCTTACCAGCATACAGGATTTTGATACATTATGGGCGTGCTTATCAGAGTCCCGTATTGTGGCGTCTCATAAGCACGCTCAAATATATAAAAAGTATACCAGATATCAGCATACTTTTTAGCGACGGCGGTCTGTGGCTAAAAAGAATACCAGATTTCACTGCACTTATTAGCTACGGCTGTCTGTGGCTAAAAAGTGTACCAGATTTCAGTATACTTTTTAGCCCGGCGGTCTATGGCTAAAAAGTATACCAGATTTCAGTATACTTTTTAGCCACGGCGGTCTGCGGCTAATGAGAATCGTGCTTATGAGAATCCTGTATTGTGGAGTCTCATAAGCACGCTCATAATCAGCTAATAATGGTCGTGCTCACGAGCACACAGGATTTTGGTACATATATGGGCGTGCTTATGAGAATCCCGTATTGTGGTGTCTCATAAGCACGTTCAAATACATACCAAAATCCGCTAATAATGGTCGTGTGCGCATGAGCACACGACCACGGCGGTCTGTGGCTAAAAAAGGTATACCAGATATCAGCATACTTTTTAGCGACGGCGGTCTGTGGCTAAAAAGTATACCAGATTTCACTGCACTTATTAGCTACGGCTGTCTGTGGCTAAAAAGTGTACCAGATTTCAGTATACTTTTTAGCCACGGCGGTCTGTGGCTAAAAAGTATACCAGATTTCACTGCACTTATTAGCTACGGCTGTCTGTGGCTAAAAAGTGTACCAGATTTCAGTATACTTTTTAGCCACGGCGGTCTGTGGCTAAAAAGTATACCAGATTTCAGTATACTTTTTAGCCACGGCGGTCTGTGGCTAAAAAGTATACCAGATTTCAGTATACTTTTTAGCCACGGCGGTCTGTCGCTAAAAAGTATACCAGATTTCAGTATACTTCAGTTTAGCCACGGCGGTCTGTGGCTAAAAAGTATACCAGATTTCAGTATACGTTTTAGCCACGGCGGTCTATGGCTAAAAAGTATACCAGATTTCAGTATACTTTTTAGCCACGGCGGTCTGTGGCTAAAAAGTATACCGGATTTCAGTATAGTTTTTAGCCACGGCGGTCTGTGGCTAAAAAGTATACCAGATTTCAGTATACTTTTTAGCCACGACTGTCTGTGGCTAAAAAGTGTACCAGATTTCAGTATACTTTTTAGCCACGGCGGTCTATGGCCAAAAAGTATACCAGATTTCACTGCACTTATTAGCTACGGCTGTCTGTGGCTAAAAAGTGTACCAGATTTCAGTATACTTTTTAGCCACGGCGGTCTGTGGCTAAAAAGTATACCAGATTTCACTGCACTTATTAGCTACGGCTGTCTGTGGCTAAAAAGTGTACCAGATTTCAGTATACTTTTTAGCCACGGCGGTCTGTGGCTAAAAAGTATACCAGATTTCACTGCACTTATTAGCTACGGCTGTCTGTGGCTAAAAAGTGTACCAGATTTCAGTATACTTTTT